GTCACCAAAAATTTTTCATAGATTAGTTATTCTCCATTAAAGGAGAAAATGTCTACAAACCATGAAAACAATGCCATCAAGGTTAATAAGAACAATGCAACAAAAGCTAAATATAAAGCATTGAGAATATAGATAGAGACGAGCCACACGTTTGTTGAACAACTAAAGCCATAGAAGAACTCGATACCATTGTTGCTAGACGGTAAGACGACGCTCCGAAAATCAAAGACCACACTAGATGATCTATTGCCCGAGATTGAAACTGCAACAAAGGCAGCATAAACAATCGAAGTGTAAGCTACAAATGCCCGAGATTCATACAGAAGAAGATAGACAAAAAAACAAATATGTTATAATAGTTAACTTTAATAACATAGTTGACTATTTTCGAAACTACTGATCTGAAAAATAGTTAATTATCACACACTATTTTGTAACTATGTAAATCATAGTTATCTATTTTCATAAAATAGTTATAATTTACAAGCATAGTTAACTATTTTTAGAGCATAGTTATCTAATTTACGGATAACATAGTTGACTACATGAACATGTTATAATAGTTACTTATTAAAAAAAATCATTAGGTATATGTTCAGAAATACCTATTATAGATTGTATATTGAAGAATAACATATACAGTTAATTTTTTTTTGTCACACATATATAGTTAACTATTATCAGAAAATATAGTTACCTACTATAGTTTGTATATAATAAAAGAATAACATACATAGTTAACTATTATAAGAAACAAAATTACCTGATTTTCGAACATAGTTAACTATTATCGATCTCTAGCGACGGCTCAATTTGACGAGGAGATTGGACGACAATGGGGAGTTTAACGAAGGAGAAGAAACACAATCTTAATCCATAGCTAGAGAATTTCGATCATGTCAACAAAATAAGACAAAGTGATTGAGAATTGATTTTGTATATCACTGGAAAGAGATGAGATTGATTATGGTGTTTGTATAAGAAGAAGATGAAACGATGGAAGAAGGAGAAGAAGGAGAGGATGCGAT